CATAAGATACTTTTAACACTATTTGCGTGACCACCATCTTGATTCGTTGGCTTTCGACTGCATTTCTACCAATCCGGTCGAGGTCGTAACTATTTTGAATATTTTGCCTCAGGTCGTAACTTTTGGAGAAATATGCTCGAAAGTCGTAACTCTTGAAAAAAACTCTGAAGGCGGCGCGCTCGTGTTGGCCGACATGGACTTTTGCTGCATCGACGAGTTTGACGAGATGGAGGAGGGCGACCGTACGGCCATCCACGAGGTTGAACTCTGTATGTTCGAGTGCAAATACCAAGCGGAAATATATGTATGTCATGGAGCAGCAGCCCGTGAGCATTGCCAACGCCGGTATTACGACGCTCAACGCGCAGACGACAGTGCCGCCTTCTCCAACACTGTACCTGACGCCGTCGAAGTCACACCTCTCTGCAACGCCATGTCACCAAAGTGACTACTAGTGCACGGCGGCAGGCATCGTCTTGCCAACGTCAAGTTGTGGTTTTGACTTTTGGGAACGCAAACCCAATGCGATAGTATTGCATAGACAACGGCCTCCTACTGTAGCTGATAGATAAAATGTTGCATAATTATTCGCATTTATTTGCTAAATGCGGCGTTTGCGCAGCGGGGCGGCTTCTGCATCGCTACGATGCAGTCTATAACGCTGGCACTATGATCTACACCATCGCTGGCGACCTGTAGCCTTCTAGAAGCGACAACGTGTGTGGCCTACAGTAGCACATCGACGTCGCCTGTGTTTTGAAACACCATATTTGCAGATGTCAACGCCGATATAGTCAGCTGGAGGCGCTTTTTCGAGTGCTCGTGCGCCGCCTGCAACCGACTTTGCGGCTTCTTGTACGATGCTGAGGCACGTGACATGGATGCCGTCGACATGGACGAAAACCACGTCCGTGCAGCGCTCATGCTCCGAGAAGAGTACGATCGCTTCAAGAACGCTGCGGCGCGTGTCGCTAACCACGATCGCCATCACGACCATCGTCAAATACCGTAGGCTTGTCGGCGGCAGCTTTTCTACGTTGACACAGCGCCAGCCCGCTGTGGGCCTCGTACACTCGTTGACAACTGTCTTCGGCCGCAACTGCTTGGCGTCGATGTGGTGAGTTCTTCTTGTTATGCGGTCGTCTGGATCGTTTTACCTACGCACGACACGACAAGACCTCGGGCGAGGTGAGCAGCCGAATCGGCCGCAGTAACCTTTACGGCATCGCCCTGCGACCTGGTCCAAGGTCTTCAGCCAACCTTGGACTCGGACTGCGGCGCTCGACCCCAGAATCTCGTAAATGAGCAATTTGCTGAAACTGGTTTTACATGGGAAAGGTCGTGGAAACGGTAAAAGCATTGTCGATGTTTCTCCATCGCACTGGCTCGGATGTACCTGCTGCAGCGCTCGCGCAGCCTGCTGGATGGCATTTGATTGCCGGATCTACTAGTGTGTCCGCATTCTGCGCCGCACCAGCTCAGCTCGCCACACCTCGTCGGCTTGTTTGATTGGCAAACGACTTATCTCGATAGGACGTGGATAAAAACACGCGTCTCAAGAGTTGGGCATCGTCTCGAGCCGAGTTGACTCGCTGCGTGTGGACGTACCAAACGCACTCTGGCCAATCGAATTGGTGGCCGCAGAGTTCTTGGCGCCGACTGCATGCTCATTGACGCAGTCGTGGAACCTTGCACACGGCTCTCGGTATAAAGTTGGGTGGTGTTGGGTCGACCCCACACGGAGATCCAAATGCTTGGATTCGATTGGCGCGGCTGCCAATGACAAGCCCGCCGCAACGCATGTATTTCGAGAGGTTCTCCACAATGCTACAGCGTCTGGCGTTTTCCATATGCAGATGGCATTTCCAGTACCGTTCACGCCTCAAGCCCTCGATGAGCGAGCCGCCGGTCGACGGCCACGTAGTATGTCGCGCCGCGATCGCATGAAGGAGCAAACGAACTGCATGCCTAGGCGCTGTCCTTGGCACGAAGACAACCCGGCGGTATGATCAAGGTTGTGCAGCCTCTGAGCACCTTGTAGAAGGCCGAGATGCGCCGCGACGCCAAGAGCATGGTCCCGATACTAAGAAGGCTCAACAAGAAGCTCATGGACCGCATCAAAAGCGGCGCCGGCCGGTAGACTCACAACCACCAGCGCCACAAACTCTGGTGCGACGTTTTGCTCCGTAGGAAGCGCAACCCGAGTCGCCGCGGAAAGCTGCCGCGCATCTACATACGGCGCCCGCAGTAAAGATCTCAACGATGCATGAGACAGAGTCTAGCCGAGACGCAGCACTGGGTGGCAATGCGATAGTCAAGCATACAAGCCGGCCTCGCAGCAACTACATCCAATCTTGCGAATAGATTCGCTGGCAACGATGTTCGCACCACGCGGTGGCTTCTGCAGTGCTGTGATATGCGTTGGTGCTTGGTCGATGCACCACTCTAGCGCGTGCAGTCTATAGCCCTTGTGAGTACATCTTCCAGCATTGAAGTTCTCGGTCTGTTGACGTGGGTATTGACTCCATCTCCTAAACAATGCTGGACGACCACAAGTAGGCGTCGCGCACAGCCAAGGGTATATGATGTGTGTTGACGCTTGGCAAAGCGAACTGGGCAATGTCTAATGAAACGCCCGAGCACCGCCGCCATGAGCCACCCGAGCGTCACACCACTGTCGGCCCGAGCGCCACTGCCACGGACCTCACGCATGCCGCAACCACGGTCCGCCTGCCCGCTGCCGCGAAGATGCGCAAGCCCGCCCGATACCACAACATTCGAGGTCGATGTCGCCAAGGTGCGTCTACCCGCTACCACCTCGACACGCGGTCTAGCTCCCGCCGTGATGCGCCAGCCCGCTAGCACTTCACTGCTGCGGACCAGAGATCCACGGCGGTGGGCTCGCGCTTGTTGGCTACAGCGGCCTCATGGGCGTCGTGGCGCAGGCCCGCGTTGGGATCGTTTTCACTCAGCGCTGCGGCCACACTACAAGGCATGAAGGATTCCAAGGCTCACGCAACAAAATCGGGAACCGAGGCAACGTCGTAACAATGTCGTAACAACGTCGCGACAGTGTTACAAAAGTGTTACGACGACGTCGCGACAACGTCTTGACAACGTCTTGACAACGTCTTGACAACGTCTTGACAAAGTCGCAATAAAGTCGCGTCCGTTTGCGAGCGTATCCGGACAGCCGTTTTGATAATACATCACAGCTACGTCACG